CTGACACGCCCCATCCACTGCAGGGACAAGACCGTAGCGTATCGCATGTGACTGAATCACTCACCCTTTCAGCTTTTATGATTCGTCTCACAAAGGCTGCGATCTTGCTTGGGACTGTTGAAAAGGCCTCAACAAGGGATGGGAATTGAGGAAATGCACTGGAATCGCGGGGAGCGGAGCCGTCTTAGGATTTGTTATGGGGCACCATTTTGTAGGTGTGTGGGTTTCGGGAGGAATTGCGGGAAAGTAGGTAGTGATGTATGTGAGATTGGAAGCATTGTTAGAAGAGTGGTACAATCTCCCTTCGACAAGATCAAGGCAACACTGAGCTCGGATCTCTTATTAACTCATTTTGACTCCGGTCTGCCAATCATCGCAGCTGCCGATGCTTCCAACTATGGAATCAGAGCAACGCTCTTTCTCATCTGAGAAGGTCGTCTACCACGCAAGCCGTTGCCCGACACCAGCACAGCACAGAAGAACTACAGCCAGATTGAGAAGGAAGCACTCGCTCTCATTTTCGCCGTGCAGAAGTTTCATCGCTTCATCCACGGACGACACTTTACGCTGAAGACCGACCACAAGCCGCTCGTCGCGATCTTTGGAAGCAAGAAAGGAGTACCAATCTACAGTGCCAACCGTCTTCAGCGATGGGCCACAATGGTACTAGAGGACAGCGGTGTAGGGAATTTCTATGAAGGGCAAAATTCTTTCATCCCAAGCAGGTGCTCTGGACCGGTCTTGGGTTATTGACAGCGCTTCGATATCGCTATCTGCAGGTATTCACCTTACGTCTGAAAGTGACCCTTATCACTTTTGTCAGTGACTAAAAAACTTTCTACTTCTCGGTGCAGATTGACATAGCGCTAGGAAATACTGGAATCGATGAGAATCGGGGAAAACTTCTTTACCTATGAAATAAAATTCATAAAGTTGGGCTGGATAGAAACCTACCTTGGTATGATAGTGATTTTAAGACTGGATTTCGGCTCACAAGAAAAAGCTGGAAATAATGAAGATCAAGGATGAAGCGTATGAGAAACTGAAAGTGCTGGAGAAGGTCAAGGAAAAGATATACCAAGCAAGAGCCGGTGTCATAAAGCGAGATCGGAAGCGTCGTCTACGCGATGAGGGTATTACAGAAGAACATGAATCGGAAAACGATGCTACGGCGGTGCGTTTATTTCGTTACATGCAATATTAATTGCTTATGCAGAATATGAAGAGATGAATGAATCACTTGGAGGGGGGGGGAAAGGAGGGCACGCCGTAGGCTCTACGAGACTGGGTCGTGGCGACTAATCATATACGCTCCGCTATGCTGTTTCGTCGGGAGGAGAAGGCCACCAACACTACGCTCCGTTCCCGCATATAGACGCTTGGGCGTTTCGAGGGCTGGTTCGAGCAACGCTCGTAATACTCACCCATCCCTCTAAAACGCTCTAGCATCGCAGCGGATAAGACTGTAGACGCGATACGGCATAGGCCCCCAAACTATTCCAACACCGACATTTCTTTGTATTGAGAACAGTGATTTAAGGATAACACAGCTCCTGAAGAATATGTTTCCGATGATGAAGCCGAAGCGAAGCCTGAAGAACCTCTAAAGGTTGTCAAAGTGTTCTACGCGTCACGCACTCATTCTCAACTGGAGCAATTAGTAGATGAACTGAAAAAGACCAGGTAGGTCAGATCAACCTTCGGGGTTTCTAGAGTTGGTGCTTCCACCGAATAAGTGATTCCTTCTCCAAGCAGATTTATTTACATAGCGCCAGTCGCAAGTGTGGACGCAGCTGACTGGCTATTTGATTCACCCCCCCCCCCAACTTTTGGCTTTTATGTGGTAAATCAGCAATAATCCAGTTCGAGATTCATTCTCGGCTCATAGAGTTTACAATTGAAATTGAATGACGACTTTAGATTTTCTCCACGAATAGTGACAGCTGCATCACGTCAGACATTGTGCGTGAACGAAAATGTCACAAGACTCAAGTTCAGCCATCTCATAAACGAAAGATGCATGGAACTCCGGAAAGGGTGCGCTTTAGAAGGAAAAAGAGTAAAGTTAGACAGCAAAGAGGTACGATTCTTTTCGATATAGCGCCTTCCCCATCTATTAATCAGGTACAATTGATTCAGAAAACATCCTGTGTGAAGAAGACAGCGAGCAAGTGTCCCTATTATAAAAGCGACGCAATCGAAGAACTATCAAATGAGGTACTAGCAGGCACTGTCTCTAGGACAAATGAGGTAAGCAAACTTTGCTGTAGGTTCTTTTTCTCTCGTTCTTGCCCTCGCTTCCCTTCTTCACTTTCTCTGTCACTGTTTGTCTTCCTTTTTTTCAAACTTCTCATAGTCCTCAACAGTTCCACCTACATAGTAGGACTGTTTTCATGAGACTCTCTCGCAGTAAGTGTGCCTTCATACATCACGATCGCGCGATCGGGTCGTGGTATTAACGTAAAAACGCGCTTTAGACTTCTCCATGTGAGGACCACAGAATTGCGCGATGTGGAGAAACTGTAATAGATAAGTACAATCGGCATCCTCGCAACCCGGCGTCTTTTTCTATCAGTTATTGTTTTCTACCTAGGCCGGCCCTGTTGGTAGAAAAGGCAGCCGCCTGTAGGTTCATCCTGTGTCTGATGACACCGGCCGGATTGCTACAGTCATGATCCTTGGAAACTATAGGGCTTAGGACGGCAGCGTGACTTAGAGCTCAGCTAGGGCAGAATTCCCACCAATCGTCAGGGCTCAGGATGGCATCATTGTTGGAACAAAGCCGCCCTGGCTGTGCTTCAGTACGCGCCGCGTCACACGCCTTGTTGGTTGCAGGGATCATGACTGCGCGATATTAGCCGCATATGAACCGATTACCTCCGCCTCAGTGTGTAATCGGAAACTTCGCGAGTAATGTTAGATACGTATCGATTCTCCGGTTCTCCTTCTCCAATATCGCAAAGTATGAACCCGGTCTAGTTGCCTGTTTTTAGCCTTCAATAGAACCGATTTCATTATTTTCTGGAGCCGTTCAACCTTCCCAAATTACGTTATAG